TATAAATTAAATTTTTTATTAATTAAAAAAATAATAGAATTTCTCTTTTTCTTTATTTATTTTTATTTTATTTTATTATAATTAATAATATAATAATATACAAATATAATATTAATATATATATATATGTAAAAGAAAATTTGAAAAAGTTTGGAGGAGCCGTGGCTCCCCTTGTCACACTTAAGGTTTGCCACTGCTCATGGTACATATCTCATACACATAACACCTATATCATACTAAATTGTTATACATATTTCATACTCATGATACATATCTCTTATTAATAATACATATCTTATATTCAATCACTACACACATCCCATATTATATAAATTCCCAATCAATCATGTCATCCCATTACACATTTCGCAATATCAATCCATTCACATTTCTTATCACACTCTACTCTTACACTAAATTAGCAATTATAACATAAAGACTTTCATCATGTATGTTTCATATACAAGACTATATGCAACACTTTATCTCGTAGATTCAACTTATACTTATCTCATACACTTAACACATCATCATAATATCAATCTCATGCATACACATCATCATCGTTTTATTCTCACATTACACATTATCATTATTTCACATCTCACCATTCACCAACAATTACAACATTGCACATAACATTCTCAAGTTAAACATCAAAATCAAATCGCATTATGCATAACCATCTCATATCACATCATGTATAATTATCTCCTATCATATATAACTTTCTCATGTCACACATATATATTTCATGTCATGCACATCACATAGAAACATCTCATATTGCATATAGGCACAAAGCCTCAAGCACAAGGTATCACGAATATAATTTTGTATTTTCATCATAATTCTCATTCACAAATATCCCTTCTCATTATTTTTTTTCTTAACCATTGATATAAGTTTCTCAAACCACTCCAAGATTAAACACTAAAAGAGTAAAACAACTCACTATTACAACACTCTAGCTATCTCTCCTTATCTTAAGTTTTTACGACATTGAGGTCTAAATGTGATATCTAGGGTTGTGCTTATGATATCAAGTTGATTTCAATATTTTTAAAAAGATAATATAATTATTTACTTCTATGTTGACATTAAGAATTTATTTACTATCTACTATGCTTAAAAATTACAAAACCATAACATTTTAGTCTATATCTACCAATTTGACTTTTACTCACTAATTTGATCATAACGTGAGTTCTATACCTCATTTTTTGGTAATTCTAATTTCATTAAAAAACTAACATCCAAAGCTATGATTCTTATGAAGGCATCAAAAGCTAATTCGGTAATTTCAGACATTTGCACAGGTGTGCAAGTGAGTGTGCACCTATGCTAGTTACTATTTTATCGAGACTCTTTCAATTCCGGTTGCACTGGCTGGCAACATGGTGAATGAGCGTGCCATTGGCTGCCATGGGAAAAATTCGTTGCAACGAAATACAAAAGTCACACAACTCACACTCAACTCAACTATCTCATTTCAATTGATTACAAACATAATTAATACTCAAAATATACTTTTATACAATCAATTAACCAAACGTGTACATCACTTTCAAAATAATCTTTTGATTTCATCAATGTTCATCTCACTCTATAAATCAAGTATTTTTACAGAAATCAAAGACACTTGCAAATTTATGATCAAAGCACTTAACACGAAATTAATGACACATACAACTCAATTATCACAATAAACCTCAAAAGGAGCGCATTAGAATCTAATCCTCTTTTCTCGAGTCAAATCATGAATTTCTCTTAGAATCAGATAAACAAGCAAATCAAGTTAGATTAACCCCTCTATCTAATAGTTAATTTACACCCAAAGGAGAATGTTTTCACTCCCCTTATTTTGATGAATGCTTGGTTTAGCACAAGGTGCGCTTTTTATACTTCTACATGATATTATATAAATATGTGTGTAGAGAGAGATATTTCAACCAATCTTTATAAGATGTTTTGGGATGTAGTAAGGGAGGATGTGTGAAAGTTTGTGCAAGATGCTTTCTCCATTGACCATTTCCTCTTATGGTGATAGATGCCCTAAAAGTCATTATCCCAAAGATCGAAGACCCTCTAACATTTTAAGGATTTTAGACCTATTAGCTCATGCAACATGATTCATGAATTGGTATCAAAACTATTGGTGAATAGAATGTGGTTTCTCCTCCATAAATTGGTTAGTCCTCTTTAGAACACTTTTATTCTTACTAGAAGTTTAGTTAATAATGCGATCATTCAACAAGAGGTATTACATAGTATGAGGAGGAGCAACCATCTTAAAAGGGAGGTTGTCTTCAACCTAGATTCGAAGAAGACTTACAATTGGGTCGAATGGGCTTTCTCCTCATACAAGTATTACAAGATTATGGATTTCCTACTAGTATTATTGATCTTATGTTGTCAAGTATCTCTTCCTTCATGGTGTCTATTCTTTGGAATGGAAACGAATTCCCCTTTTTCTCTAAAAAAGGGATTAAGGCAAGAAGATCCATTTGCTCCATATCTATTTGTTCTTTATATGGAGAAACTTGGCCTCATGATCAAGGATGTGGAGTTGCATCAGGCCTTAAGGTGAATGTGGAGTTGAGATAACCCTAGTCTAGGAAAACTAAGTTGACCGAGATCTCCCTTATTAGTTTTACCTCTAGTTTGGGGTGCTACTTGGGGTTTAAGATTCATGGTAGGGACACGATGCAACATATTAACCATATAATGAGTAGCGTTTAGAAACATCAAAGTAGTAGGGTTTAAGCACATTGTAGATTAAAGTATGTCATGTTCTCTGTGAGGGAAGATGACATTTGAAAATATTACATATTCCTTTATTTTAGGAGGTTCACTTGAGGGTGAATGTTTCTAAGGTTTGTTTGTGTGATACTATTTCAGATGTTGTGTTATGGTCTAGAAATCTCTCTAATAAATATATAACAATGGTTGATTATGTTTGGTTTGGTTGTCTAATGAAGAAAATTATTTCTTAAAACCACCTAAGATCAAGTCAATTGGTGAATAGGATAAAGAAAAACTAACTATTAAAAGACCAAGAAAAAAAATAAGATTATTATAAATGAGCAAGTCACTAAGATGAAAATATATTTTAGATAAAACAAATTGATTTATAATAATTTCTAAAGCTTAATTAAATAAACATATTAATATTTTTGAAATATTACTAAAAATAAATAATAACAAAGTGACAAAACTTTATGAAATTTAAGGTTATTAATTGTGTGGATAGTCGAAAAATAAAAGTAAGAGAAAGATACCAAAAAAAAAAAAGATAGAGGAGAGGAAAAAATGTTTCAAAAATGAAATTATTTAATTTTTAAAATATCATTTTCATGGATGAATTAGATTTTCATCCATAAAAATAGTATTAATAGATAGATTGAAATGTTTTTTATTCTTAAATAAATCGGATAGTTGAATTTCTAATAGATTATTTTTTTTATAAAAATTACTGTAACTCAACTAAAATATCATAGAATTCATTTGTTTGTCACCTTTGCTTAAAATTATCAAATTCTCATTATCAATTAAAGTCTTTATAAATTGAATCATTAAACTATTTTACCTAAAACTCCAACCAAAAATCCAATTTCGTTTATGGCTAATCTTAATTTTCTTTCTTCAAACCCTAGTCTTATAAAATTCTTCAAATTTTAATCAAAAATTGAGATTTAATTTTTTAAAAACATTCCAGATATCAAATCCATCAGGAAACTTCAACATTTAGATAAAAATGATAACAAGATTATATGTTCATAATTTTTTTTTAAAAAATACTAAATAGGCTAAAAAAATTAAAGATCCAAATTCAAAATTCAAGTTAAAAAAATTGAAAAGTGCAATTAACTCATAATATAATGTTAGTTAATTTCAGTCTTCAAATTTATTTACTACTATAATATGAAGGATAATTGTGTAGTTAACATAGAAAATAATAAATTAACTACTCTCGCTTGTTCATTTATTTATGGTTAACATACTCACTTAGTTTAAAACTTGAATTTAATTAAAATGTATGAACAACGTTTTTTTATTTATATATTATCATTTAATCATTTTGATTATCACCAACGTGGGTTAACAAATGTGATTAGGTTCCCGGATCGAACTCTCACCTTTCCTATCGACACACTCCAATTGGGTGGAATTGCTTAAAGTTCAACAATAAGCCTCTAAGTGAACCATTAATACCCTCTCCAATAGTATTAGAAATGTCTTTCTATTTGTCCACTTTTAACATACCAAAATAAATATCATAGATTATCACAAGTTATAAAACCTTTTAATATGAACAATTTTAAATGACAATATAAAACTTGTTCACGCGCAGAAATTTATATAATAAAATTTCACAAGTTACATTTATATTCCAACTTTAAGAAAAAAAACATACATGCTTAAATATAAATCCCTAATTAGTTAAGTGAATGACACGGCACCAAAGGTACCAAAAAGAAAACCTACACAATTCCTTTTAATAATAAAAAAAGAAAAATGTACTTTTAGAATGGACATTTTTTTCAAAATATTTTATTAGTTAACTCGCGCTAAGGAATAGAAAAACATAAAAAAAAAAAAAAGAAGATAAATTTAAACACAAAACATTCATTAATGCTAAATTTAATCATTGGGTCGCATAATTAGTTAATTAGATAAGTGATAAGATTCACCTATTCCCAATTAAAATAGTTAACCCTCCTGGACCCTTGCAAAAAAGGAGCAAGCGGGGAAAGAAATTGTATATGCATAAGCACATTCTCTTCTATTGATATATTCATAGGCCATGACCATGAGCAAATTCTTGGTCAGAAATAGTTTAGAACTGTAAAACCAAATTAATTATAATTTCTAACTATGGTAATCTACCAATTTCTGATGATATTTTAGTTCAACTTGTTCACACACCATCTGGAAGGTCTCAATTTCTTCTGTAGCAGTTTTACATGAAAAGATTACAGCAAGTTTCACTTGAAGATATTTAAACTAGTGCATCAAAGCCAGGAGGAACATCCATCAAAGGAACACTCTTGGGTTTATCATTTCTAATATGATCAACTCTACCCACCACGTCCTTCCCTCCAATCATATCAATGTCCATATCAACTGGCTCCATGTCAGGTGCATTTCCAATAGCTTTATCAATTTTACTGTGGCGGAAGATTCCCCACAGAAAGTGTCCAGCATTTACTGCAGCAATAACACCTGTGCACACAACACTAGTTTATGTTATCTTTGCCAAGACCAAGACAAAATGCAATAACAAATTCTTATTGAGCCATGCAGGCAAATAAGAAGAACAAATTCCAAAATTTTAATAGAAAACTTTAATTTTTGAACCTGCTCTCTCCAATCTAAATTTTGATGTCAAACACAACTTTAATGCATGAGATGAAATAGTTCACGTACCGCTAGTATTCATGTCAAGTTGATTTGAAGTAAATACCAGCAACTCCACTCCATTAATATAACTTCTCAGCATTGATTTCTGATCATTCATAAATTTCAATATGGTATTCATGTTCTTTCTGGACCTACATTCAATTGAAAACATATCCAAACAAAGTTTAAGTAGCTTAAACAAAAAAATGGCCTGGATGGCACCAAAAACAAAAGAAAACGAAAAAGATCATCAAAATAAGAAGTAAAAGCTGACCTCTCAGTATTATCTGATGGAAAGATGTACAATGCAATATCCTGAAGCTTAGGAGAATCATCCTGGAATATGTCAGTCATGACATTCAACGCAGGAAGTGACTTAAGTTGAAGAACTGATGGCATTTCTTTAGAAAATTCATATGCTTTCCGGTTAACAATGCATGGTGGTCGGGCCTCAAACCCATCAAAAACTTCACCGGATGCAGCAGTTTGAAGAATTTGGAATTGACCCCTAGAAAATGGTCAACAGCATGATAATTTCATGATTAATGAAATTGTAGCCTTCCGGACTAAATGCAAAGCATTTGCATGTGTCATATAATAGCAATACTTGAATATGAATAATTTCTTATTAATCTGAATTGATGAGTACAATCAAATAAATAGACATGTAACAGAAACAATCCCTAAAGTTTTGGGATTAAGATAAACTATAAATCAGGAGAAGATGAACTAGTATATCTAAACTAAATCTTAGAATATCATAGAATATCTTAACACTCCCCCTCAAACCGGAGCATATATATCATATGCATCTAACTTATTACATATATATGTTATCCTAGGACCTTGTAAAGATTTAGTAAAGATATCTGTAAGTTGATCCTTGGAGCAAATTGAGGAGGTCTTAATAATACCGGAGAGGATCTTTTCTCTGATGAAATGGCAATCAACTTCTATATGTTTTGTTCTCTCATGAAAAACTGGATTAGAGGAGAGGTATAAAGCTGACTGGTTATCACAAACTAGTTCCATATGACCAACCTTGCAAAACTACAACTCTTGAATTAAGAATTTTAGCCACAGGAGCTCACATGTGGTGTGAGCCATGGCACGGTATTATGCTTCTGTACTTGATTGTGCAACAACACTTTTCTTTTTACTCTTCCATGAGACAAGATTACCACCCATGAAGACACAATAGCTTGATGTTGACCATCTATCACTTGCATCACCTGCCTAATTTGCATCTGAATATCCAACAATGTCTGTATGTCCTTTATCATTGTAAACAAGTCCCTTTCCTGGTGATCTTTTGATATATCTAAGGATCTAAACAACTGCATGTCAATGACTCTCACAGGGAGGGTTAAGAAACTGACTTACAACATTGACAGGAAAGGATATATCAAGTTTGGTCATGGTGAGATAATTCAATTTTCCCACTAATCTCCAATATCTCCCTGGGTTAGGATAAGGCTCCCCTTGATTAGGCATAAGCTTCACATTGGGATCCATGGGAGTGTCAACTGGCTTACAATCTGTAAGTCCGGTCTCCTCTAGAGTATCAAGGGCATATTTTCTCTGAGAAATAGCAATACCAAACTTTGACTAAGCGACCTTAATCCCAAGGAAATAACGTTGGAGACCTAAATCTTTAGTTTTAAAGTGTTTAAATAAGTGTTGCTTCAGAGCCTTGATGCCCTCCTGATCATCACCTGTAATCACAATATCATCTACATAAACAACAAGATAGACAACTCTGTGTCAGTGAGCATCTAAAGAAGACAGTGGTCTGCCTCGTAGCAGATTATTCTAAATTCCTATATAACTTTGCTAAACCGACCAAACCAAGCGCGAGGTGATTGTTTGAGGCCATACAAGGACTTCTGTAATTTACACATAAGACCAAACCTCCCTTGAGCAACAAACCCGGGAGGTTGCTCCATATAAATCCCTTCCTCCAAATCACATGTAAGAAGGCATTCTTGATGTCTAATTGAAACAAAGGCCAATGCCTCATAGCAACCATGGCTAAGAAGAGACGAACTAAGGCCATCTTCGCAACTGGAGAGAAAGTGTCACTATAGTCCAAACCATACACTTGCGTGTATCCCTTAGCCACAAGACAGGCTTTCAATCTATCTACCTGTCCATTAGGGCCCACTTTAACATTAAAGACCCACCGACAACCAACAACAGATTTTCCAGGCAGAGGTGGGACAAGTACCCAAGTGTGGTTGGAGTCTAAAGTTGTCATCTCATTGATCATTGCTTGTCGCCATCCTGGATGGGTTAATGCCTTCTGCACTGTCTTGGGAATGGTAACAAAAGAAATAACAAAGACAAAAGCATAATAGGTAGGAGACAAACGATGATATGAAAGAAAGTTATAAATAGGATAAGGATTACAAGTAGAATGACTAGGGGTGGGTATATGGACTTGAGTCTGCAGACCGGTCCGTAAGTCCGCGGACTTCACGGATAACAGGCTCATTTTTTTTAATCCGTATAATCATACGAACTTTTTAGGTCACGATATTCTAGGGTAATTAATGAACAGGGACGTACCTCGTTACGTGTGACCTATTTATAATACCTGACATGGGCCTGAATGTGGTGGGCCTATCCTAATCTTTACCAAATTAGGTAATACGATGCTAATCAGCTAACCATGTCTTAATTATGCACTTGTCCTTGTTAACTGTGATTTGTACTATAACCTGTTTAACCTATCGGCACGTTGCCGAGCCGACAGGTTATAGTACCGTGCCGTCCTCTGGTTCGGTTGTGTGAATTGGCCGACGTAGTTGAAGAATTGATTGGTATAGTACCTTTCTTACTTTTTTTAAATTCTTGCGTTATCATTGATTTTGACTAATGGTGTGTAGGTATCATGGCAAATCACGAAGAGGACGATTTGGATATTCGCACACTGATCAGAAATCAAGTGGCGGCAACTACTACGAACAGGGCCCCGACCGGTGTGCGCGGGAATCAGCCGTCTGCCCAAGGTAGTGGAGCGGGGCCAACAGTCAGGCAAAAGCAGAAAAATAACAAACACAGCCACATTAAGAAACATAAACATAAACAAAAACAGCCATCAAAACAAAGCAACAATGTTAAAAAATAGCAAAACACAATTGTCATTCCTAAAACTATTTTGTTTAATCCCCTTCACTCTTCATCCTCATCAATGTCTGCATAATTAATTTCTACATGATGATGTTTTTCATTCAAAAATCCTTCAGCTTCTTCTCCATCTGAATGTATGAGATTAGCATTTGGTTCCTCCTCCTCACTGCTAGAGCTAGAATCCTCTGATGTCTCAACTTCTTCAACCCTTTTCCCCTTATTCTTTGAAGCTAATCCTTTGGCTCTTTTAGAAGGATTAGTAGATGTTCCTACTTGCTCCTCCCCACTTGCTCCTCTCCTTTTGTGACGCCTAGTGTATTGTCTAGGCTCATCAAGTCCTGAAGCTTGATAAACTTGTCTCCAAGTAAGGTCATCATCTCCTTCATGAACCCTCTCATCTTCACCTTCTTCCTCATCCATCTCTCCAATTAGCCACTCATTGCAATCATCAATCCCATTGAGACTAATGGGATCGATTTCATCCTTAAGGTTATACCTTTGATGGAGTGCTTGATTATACTTGACAAATACCAAGTCATGTAGTCTTTTATGCTCGAGTCTATTCCTTCTCTTGGTATGAACCTAAAACAATTAAATAAATACTTATTACTTAAGGAATAATAAGCAAAACATTGATTATTAATTTTAAATTGGAATTAAGAAATTAATTACTTGCTCAAAGACGCTCCAATTACGTTCACAACCCGAAGCACTACATGTCAAGCTAAGGATCCTTATTGCAAGTTGTTGCAAATATGGAGTATCTGAACCATACATCCGCCACCATTGAGCTACAAATGCAAACAAAATATGTTAACACAAACACTTGAGCAAATGACTTTATGACTTAGAGAATAATAGTTCAAAAGTTGCAATGTTTTGTCTCTTACCCGGTGCAACTTCACCCCTCATTGCTATGGCAGTTGTGCACCCAAACATACCACTCGCAGCTTTATAGTGAGCCAACTCCTTATGAACAATCTTTTCCATCTCCAAATCTCCCAGCAATTTATTGATACAATCATACAAACCCCTAATAATCTCACCATTAAACTCCATCTGTGGGTTGGCATAAAAGAACTCTGGGTTCAAAAAGTGACCAGCAGCATGTAAAGGGCGATGAAGCTGAATATCCCATCTTTTATCAATGATTTCAAACACATCCTTGTATTTGCTTTCATTTTTAAAAGATTTCATGATGGTTTCCTTTGCCTTGTCCATTGCCTCATATATGTAGCCCATGGCTGGTTTTTTCTCACTATCCACAAGCCTAAGCACTTTCACAAGAGGAGCCATCACTTTCAGAATGAAAACTACATTCTTCCAGAAACTAGGCATCAAGACAGTTTTTGTGGCTTCTTTTCCCTTGGCCTCCTTTGCTAGCTTGTTTTCATTCCACTCTTCTGACACAAACATCTTTCGAAGATTAGTTTTCTCTTGATGAATCCTCTCCAAGGAAAGATAAGATGTGGCAAATCGAGTGATTGCATGCCTGACTAATTCCCTCCCCCCAGTAAAGAACCTCAACATGCTCAAAGTGCTTGAATGGCTATAAATGAAGCCAACAAGAGAGATAGCTCGCTGAATGGTCTTCTTTATATGGGGCAGCTTGCCAATATCCTCTAACATCAAATCTATACAATGTGCAGCACAAGGAGTCCAATAAATTTTTTTTCTTTTCTCCTCTAGCAACCTACCAGCAAGAACATAATTACTTCCGTTGTCCGTTATAACTTGGACAACCTTTTCCTCTCCAATCTCCTCCACAATAGAATCCAGCAACTCAAATATCTTTTCACCGGTCTTTACATAATCAGATGCATCAACCGACCTTAAGAACATTGTCCCAGAAGAGGAGTTCACCAAAAAGTTGATTATGCTTCTTTGTTTCCTATCAGTCCAAGCATCTGACATTAAGGAACACCCAAAACTTGCCCATTGATCCTTTAGTGGCTTCATTAATTCATTAGTGAACTCCACTTCTTTTTGAAGGAGTGGTACTCTAATGTCATGATAGGAAGGAGCTTTCAAATGCTTCCCAAAATGCCCAATTTCACGAATCATATCTTGAAAACTTTCCAACTTTATCAAGTTGAAAGATATGCCAGCTTGGTACCAAAAGCGTGCTATATATTGGTAAACCCTTTCTACAGCTTTTTTATCACAAAGCTCTCTTATGCCCGCTTGCACCACCTTGTCTTTCCTATTTTTTGCAGCTGTAGATTGAGGTTGAGTGTAAAGGTCCATAGGTCCTTTCCTAGTATCCTTCAATCTAAAATCACCAATTGGAGGTAATCGAGAATCAGAACCTCCTAATTCCATAAATCCTTCTTCACATTGTACCTCAATCTCTTGCATTGCCTTCTTGAATGCTTCATTTTGCCTATGCTTCTTACCATCCATAGCTGCCCTTATCTCAACTTTGACAGCTTCAGGAGCCATCAAACAAGCTGTAACATTGCCCGCCTTTCCAATCAAATGTTGTTTCACCCTTGTGATACCTCCTTTCATGACCTTCCGGCAATAATTACAAAGAATCTCATTTGTATCATTCTCTCTGACCGGTGTACAATGCTTCCAAGCAACGTCACTCCTCTTAGAATTAATGGAACTAGAAGATGACATTGTGGGTGGCCGAGAGTTTGAATCTGCCTCCCCTGACATTGTCGGATTGTCGGATGCGGTGGCAGTTGTGATGGCAAAACTCAAAGGAGGAGGAAGAAAATCTTGTCGAAAGTCACGGTGGTGCTGTCGGAGGTCACAGTGGCGTGCAGAGGTGACGGCGGAGGTGGTGGTGGCTCGCGGGGAGGCTAGGGTGGCGTGCGCGGAGGCAGCTGCGGTGGTGGCGGAGGTTATGGTGGCGCGACAGTGATGCCAGTGGAGAAGAGACTTCTTAGTTCTTACGTGATGGTGGCGGCTGCGTCAGAGGCTGCGACGGTGGCAGCTGCGTCGGAGGCGACAGCGGAGGTTGAGTCGTCGGCGTCGGTGGCGATTGCGTCGTCGGCGACGGTGGCAGATGCGACGTGGGAGTCGGAGCAGTTGCGGGGGGGGAGGTTTGCACGAAAGGGACTGTAAGTGATTTAGGGTTTCTAATGCCCTAAATCATCTGTTGGGTGCCCAACCCGGAAAACAAACCCGGGTCCAAACCAGAAAATAAAAAAAAAAGGCCCAAAACAAATAAATAAAAAAAAGAAGGGCCAAAACGAAAAACAAAAAAAAAAAGGCCCAATAACGGCGCCATGTCCGCCATGTCCGCCACGGACCGCCACGCCAGACCCGCCGTAACGGCCGCCACGGGCCGCCATCTCCAAAATGGCGGAACCCCGCCATTTTCACCCTAATCCGCCATAACGGATTGCGGCTGCCGCCGCCACGCCGTTATGGCCCCGTTATGGCGCCACCATAACCGTTTTTTGATAACACTGGCATAATCACATGGCTCAATTGTAGAAGCACTGGGAGGAACAATAATATGTGATTGACACTCATAGGTTATCCCAAATCGGTGTAGAGGACAGTCAAACCTTGGTGGTGTGGGACGAATCTCTAGTGCCTCTAAAGTAGTAGGTGTACACCGAGATCAAAATGAGGAATAGGCAATACTTAAGAAAGGAGATCTGAGTCAACCAAAGAGACATCTATAACAACAAAATATGGTGTATTTTCAAAGAAAGTGACATCTGCATTGGTGTAAAATCAATGCGTAGCAAGAGAGTAATAACGATACCCCTTTTGGACACGGGAATATCTTAAGAACACACATTTGATAGCCCAAGCAGACACCTTAACATGTCTTTAGAAAAGATCATGGACAAAACAAGTACAACCAAAGACATGAGGATGAATAGAGTAAAGGGGATCCAATGGGTATAATAGGGAATGAGGCACTTGATCATTCAAGACAGAGGATGACATTCGATTTATTAAATACTCTACAGTAAGTACAGCATCGCCCCACAACTTTGGGGATGCATTGGCATTCAATAAAAGAGTACAAGCAACGTCCACAATATGTCTATATTTTCGCTCAGCTACACTATTTTGTTGAGGTGTATGAGGACAACTAGATTAATGTAGAATGCCATGGGAAGTCATAAATGATTTGAAGCAATCTAGAAAATATTCTTTAGCATTGTCACTTCGTCACCTTAGTTGATTTTGCTGTCTTCTTTCTCTCGATATGCACCACACTGTATCTCCTCTTGAATCCTCTCTAGGCATGGTAAGAGGACAAAAAGCATTGAGAATTTTTACAATTTGTAATGTGTGTGATTATTCCTATAAGGATCGACTGACATTAAGCCTAATTCTATAAGTCTCAATATTTTATTAGAGTTTTCATAAAAGTTATTAAAGCTTACCTATTGTTAATGGAATATTGTTGTTTGCAAGGAGGAATTTGCAAAATATAATATTAGAAATCTAAGAACTTAATCACAAACTTTATAAGCTCACCATAATTTATTTTAACAAAAATAAGCATCCAAGTTTTGCAATTGTGATAGCTTGTAATTATACCCCAAAATACCAGTATTTGTCATAAGGAATTGATATTTACCACTATAAACAGAAGGAGCAAAGCACTTTTCCAAACTTAAATATTCAAAAATAGAGAAAAGATCACAAAAGTACACTACACATGCTAATGTATATAGTTTATACACACCATGTACATTGTCACTTCTGAAATTGCTTGAAAGATGTCATCACAAATAGTAAAAGATAAAATTGAAATGAAGTGAGTTTCATTATTACTGGTTACAACAGACTGAAATTTAATATGCATTTGAAAGTCAAAGGAAGGCAATTTAAGGGGAAATCAACGACAAGGGAAGAGAGGTACATACTTCCAGGTAGGATATGAAGGTAAAAATTTATGATCAAGGTTTAAGATTTCCTTAACACTCTTAGGATCAATTTTTTCAGTATTAGATTTGTTACATTCAGCATCAACGACACGGATACCACCTAAAGAAGACAGAGAGCAAAAGGAATTAATAAAATAAGAGATGATAGGTTCACAACCCACAGAGGGTGAGTGAGAAACATTATGATAGATACTAACATGCATGCCTACATTTGCATGTAGAGATATCAGAAATTAAGTAAATGCAACACAACTAAAAAAAGCATCAGTCATAATACAATTACAAAGAATGAAATCATAAGAATAGTATCTTACCTGAACCAACAATGAGGGGAGATTTTATCGTTGATAAAGCTTCAAAAGGTGCCCTTTTTGTAGGCTTTTCTTTTTGAAGATCATGGGTTTGAAGTTTTTTATCAGGTACCACTCCACCCATTGGTAGCTGAATTTTTCCAATAAACTCCTTTGGTGGTCCTACAGGATCCATAATCTCAAAAATAAATCACAAGCATATCTCATGGTAAAATTGCATCGCAAAGGTTTTAAGCATTATTTATAATGCAGTCACACTGGTTCTACAATACAGGTAGGGTATACTCCTTTACACAATCATTGTTTGTGGATGAAAACTAAGTCTACTCATTAATTGTATGATAACTTTACAAAACCTGGTCGTGTTATTAATTTACAAGACTATTTATTTTTAATTATATCATACAAATAAAATAAAATTCAAGTAGTGACTTTGAGAAACTCTGACTTAACAAGTATCAACAAACACAACATTTTTATTCCGACAAATTAGATTAACCCAGGCAAACTCAACCTCCGCTTAAAATTGTGCCTTTAAGAACATGTATCATAAATGTTAAAAGGATGTTGTATTCTCTTTTGGGAGAAAAAAGAATAAAGATGGAAATAAATTCTCACCTTTTGTCAATGAGCAAGAGGCATGTTGATTAGTCATTCGCTTCTTTTGTACTTCATCATTTCTTGGAAGCTTCCCAAGTAATTTAGGGGATGATATGGGAGGATTTGGTTTTGGAGGCAGGGAGGGAATCTTTGAAATGACATTTTTCGATCCAACAAAAGCTTTTCCTGAGGAAAGTTTAATGACTTCATCCTCATGAAGGAACTTCACTTTCCTTGTTCTAACAGCTCGTTGCATTTTAGAAGCCCATTGACCAATATCTTGATTCACCCTGGGTGGTGAATTTGAAACACCCTTGGATTGGCAAGACTCACAAAGCCAATATTCAGGAATTTCTAAGGTATTAATTCTCATGCAATAACTGAAATTGGATGAAAATAGCATTGATTAAGAAACAAACTCTATGTTGCACTTATACTGCAGTGGCATATATCAATTGGTCAAAAGCCAAAAGAAATAATTTTTCAGGTCTAGAGAAGGTCTAGAAAATGTGTAAAATTATGTGGTCAAATTAAATTGTAAATTTAATTACTTTTTATGTTTCTTTGAGATTATGCAAATTCAAATAGATAAGCAGACACCTATACCACTTGCCTGATTTTTTCAATATTAATAAACTTTCTTATAAGCAGTAAAACAAGAAAGCAATTATGTCTGAATAATCAATCAAAGACAGAAAGAGATATAAGTAGAAAAAAGAGAATGGCAAGTGAGAGATCATCACCAATGTTCCCGATTTACATGGCATTTAGAGCAAGTAACAATTGTTTCGGGAAATCCACGATCACCACATATATCACAAAGTTCAGCCTGCCAGGAATGATGAGCACATTGATATAAATATGTAATACAAAAAACAGCTAACTTACAAAACATCAAGTTTTTTTATATAAAAATATTCAAACTGCCCATTCTAGTGTTGGATAATATGCCTTTAACATTTCAGTTTCACAAGAAGTTTGCATTCTAGGATGCAAGCAGAAGATAAACCTAATGAAGAAGCAGATTCAAAAGCAGAAAATATTTTAAGCTTTGAAAATGATCTCTCATTATTATTAGAATAAATACTTGGCTTATATAGCCAAATACAAGAAAAGTAAATTAAAAAGAACAGCCCACTTAGTAACAAACCTATAACAATGTAGTTAACTAAAAAATGGTCAAACTCCTAAGTCCCAACTAATACCAAATAACAAGCTCTAACAAATTGGAGTTGTTGAGTCAACAAGAATAAGATAAGACCTACGTCTACTCAACATTTCCTCCCCTGAACGGAAATTGCTGACAGCAAGCAATCAGTTTACATCTGCCATTAATCGAAGTCCAAGTAGCTCACAGAGTTCTATAAAACTCTCCAATTTCAGTGGCTTGGTCATTATATCAGCAATTTGCTCACTAGTGCCACAATGCTCCAGCTTTATAGCACCATCTCTAGCAAAACCTCACATAGATGTGTTTGCTTCTTCCATGCATAACAAGTTTTTTTTTTTTTTTTTTTTTATAATTTAATTGTGGAACTATTATCACAAAATACTGTAGTGCACTTATAATGAGAATGACCAAGCTGACTGAGTATTCCTTTCATCCAAAAAATGCCTTGAAATGCACAAGCAGCAGCAGCAACAAACAACGCTTCTGTTGTTGACATGGATACAACAGGCTGCTTTCTTGAACTCCAAGATATAACTTGATCTCTTGATGTACTCTTTTTGTCATCTGTGTCACCAGCATAGTCACTACCAGTGTAGGCCATTAGAACATCCTCAGCTCCCTTTTTTTGTAGAACATCCCCATCTGTATGGTTCCCTTTAAATATCAAAGTACCCTTTTTGCAGCCAACATGTTTGATAGCTTAGGCTTAGCCATGTACCTACTTATGAGGCATAAAAAATACATCATATCTGGTCTGTCGCTGTCAAATAGATGAGGCTACCAACCATTTGTTTAAACAGTGTTGTATCCACATCTGCACCTTCACCTCCTATAGTAAATTTAGTACTTGGAACAATAAGATTCTTCACTGAATTGCGACTCTCCATTCTGAACCTGTCAAGTATTTCTCGAGCATACTTCCTTTGGCACAAATGAATGCCTTTGGAACTTTGTTGTACTTCAACTACTAAAAACTATTTAATTTTCCCCAAGTCTGTCATGTCAAACTCCAATTCCATAGACCTTTTGAACTTTAAGCTCTTGATACCAAAAAGTAGTAAATCAGATTCAAAAGCAGAAAATATTTTAAGCTTTGAAAATTATTCTCTCATTATTATCAGAATAATAACTTGCTTATATAGCCAAATACAAGATATGGTAAATTAAGAAAAACAAGCCACATTGTAACAAACCTATAATGTTGATGTGATTGTTAATTAAGAATTGGTCAAACTCCTAACCGATACCGATTAACAAACTCCTAACATATTTGACTCAACAAGAATAAGATCAGACCTACACCTACTCAACAAAACCTGTAAATTCAAATGTTAAACTTCCACAAGGATTAGGGGATCTCACACCAAATCTTGGGGGTTATAGAAACTTTGCGAAAAAAAAATTATTTAACCATGTGTGTGAACATCTGTGTGATTGAGTTGATTAATCCAAAAACAGTCATATGTAAAAAAAAATTAAAAAAATAGACATGCAGAGATGTGTTGTAAACTTGTAATGCAAATGCTAATTGGTTGGGTCCTTCTTCAGGCAGATACTAAATTCTCTTTAGAGGAAATTTGAGTTGACATCCAATAAAAGTAAGAAGCAAATAACTTGTAATTCCCAAGTTGATACGATATAACTAGACTAGAGGGGAAAAAAATAAGAATCACAAAAGAAGAATGATTTATTGACAATATCCTTCAAGATCAATGAGACCCAAAAGTACAAAGGATGCAAATGGGATAACCTTTCATACGCCAATATGTCATATGAAAATTAGAACTACAACTTGTGAACTCATATACCAATATGTCATGTAGTAAGGAAAGTTTAACTTTAACATGTATGGAATCACAAGCAGTGAAGTTCATAGGTGATAAGTAACCTAACTAGTTTTTTTCACGAAAAGTCATTGTCACTTTGTAAAGGGGAAAAAAAACAGTTTGAAGAAATTGCTACCAATCTCTATACATTTTGCATACACAAATTCACAAGAAAGTGAAAGGCAGAAACAAAATTTAATTTAGTTACGTTGATATCTTCCTTGCGTTGTTGTTGGTGCTGCATTGTGTCGTCCTGGAGAGAAAGACAGAGAGACACAACAACAACGTTGGGTGAGTAACAAGGTTTAGTGTGAGTGAGTGATGAATTGCAGAAGCAAAAACACTAATAAGGGTTAGAGTGAAAGAGTGATACGTGCGAGACATGCCAAAACTTCATTTGCTGCATACGTGCCGACCCTTCACTTGCTTGAATTTCACTCTGCATATTCTTTATCTTACTTGGCGCGTGTGAGTTTGAGTGAAACTTCTCCAACAAGTTTTTTCTCTATTTGAACTAAGAAATAAAAAGAAGAAAAAAAATCATTTTCTGTAAGTCAGAGACTGGTCAAAGAAACAGAACAAAAGAGTGGAGTCGATCATTTTCATTGTGAGTTCCGATAATTTATCCTTTTAAAAATAGTATAATTAATAAATAATTACTCCTTTTTTTTTGCAAGTAAAAATGAAAATAAGTCATCACATATTAGACTTTTAATAAATAAGTTGATCTGATTTATTATTAATTATAGATTTTTTTAAGGTATGGTTTGATTTTTATAAAAGTTAGATTTAACTTATTAACATATTAAAAATCTATTTTATATTAAAAATGTTAGATAAATCAATAAATTTAATTTTAAATAAATTAATAAATATGTTTTTAATTACATGTGTGAATTTTTTTTTTATGATATAAAATAGTTTATTTCATTATTATTAAAATTTAGGGTTTAAAAAAAATTAATATAAGAAAGACAACTTGTGTGCATTCATGAACACTTATGTACAAATTAAATAAAATATAAACTTATAAAAAATAT